TTCAATTTCTTAGAAGTGTTCATTTTTTATTTTATTCCTAGAATTTTTCGAGGTAAATTTCTTGTTAAATTTTATTTGCCGTTAACGAGGTGTAGCGCGAAGTAGAGATAAGGTTGTTTTCGCAGAATTGCCGGGCGTACGTGCCGTTTAGCAAGAAGTTTAAAAATCGACGCTTCGCGTGATTGGCTGGCGGGATGTTGAAGAAAGGAGAAGGGTTTTTTTTGCTTAAATAGCAAATTTTTGAAGAGAGCGGGGCTTTTTAGTCGTTACAAAGCCAACCGGCGGTTCTTCGGTTACGTTATTTTGAATGTTGTGGAAGTTTCCTGCGTAGTGGATCCAGTGTTAATCAGAATTTTGTTTGCCGTTAAGAAGAATTTTGAAAAGTTTAAGAAGTTTGTCGGAAGTTTCCTGCGTAGTGGATCCAGTGTTAATCAGAATTTTGTTTGCCGTTAAGAAGAATTTTGAAAAGTTTAAGAAGTTTGTCGCCGTCCTGTTTTTTTTTTGGCGGAAGCACGGAAGTTTGAAAATAATTGTGGGTACCCGAAGAGAGAAGACGTCGGTGTTTGAGTGTTTGGTTTGTGTGAAAATTTTGTGTTGTTATCGTGTACGGATACCTCTTTGTATCAGAGTACGTTACTCGGACAAATTTAAAAGTAAGTAGTAGTTAGTGGTTTGTTTTTTTTGTTTTGTCATGTTTGTAATGTTTGAGTAATTTGTGTTTTTTTTTGTGTGTCATTTATCTGTTTAAAATTGTAACAATTTGTAAAACAGAAATTTACGCAATTTTTTGCCTGAAATTAAACCAGTCATTGCAATCCAGGTTTTGTTTATTAGAGTCAAAGAGAGGTAATTGTCGGCGTCTCTTACTTTGTTTCAAGTTTATTCAAATCTGGGGGTAAAGTTTCGTATTGGAATTTAAGGACTTGGTTAAGCCACCAATTCATGTCATTGTTGGAATGCTGTAGGGTGGCAGAATCCAGCTGGACCTTGAGATGCGTGTGAAAATTTGGTTTTTTTTAATTATAACTGAGCTAGCTAGAGGTAAATCGTGGGATTCCTAGAAGTGAAGGTTAGGTCTCACAACAATATATATATATATACATATATATATATATATATATAATGCCAGCCGATGGAATTGTTCATATATATATATATATATATATATATAATGCCAGCCGATGGAATTGTTCATATATATATATATATATATATATATATATATCGGTCAAAGTAATTAAAACGGGCAATATTCATAATGCCCGGGCAATATGAATAATGCATAGCTAGTTTGGGCATTGTGATAAATTCAATTTAATATATGGTAATTTATTACTTTGACCGGGCACTATACATAATGCCATTCTCTGACTGGGCAATGCACTACACATAAGCACGTATTAGTGAGTCACCGGTAGACACGTGGCTAAAGGTTATATTTAAACATTATTGCGGTCGCAGTAGTTGTGCAGTTTACTACGTAACGTGTTCTTGTTCACATCCATCGATAGTATAATACATTACGTGCGGTTTTTGGTAAGTGTATAAATTCAAACGTTATATGGTGATGAATATACAGTTAAAAAATCGATTTTTAGATATGGATCAATCATTGCGTGATATAAACAACCGTTTCAACTTTCGATTAACGGAATTAATATCAGCTAAGGGTCGAAATACTCAAATTTTTAACAAAAAGGCGTATTTGGAGATGATACAAAGTGTAAAATCCTCAAAGAATAAACAAACTTCGAAGTTGCCAGAAGATTACCAGCGTTTAGGGAGATATGACGTAGTAACAATTGGGGCCATTGAAAAACTGATTGTCCCCGTGAAAGAAGGTAATTTGATGAGATATTATGCGCACACTGAAGAAATATTTCAAATATTACATGACACACATGTCTCCATTGGTCACGGTGGTAGAAACCGAATGGAAAAAGAATTGAACCTTAAATATAAAAACATTACACGGGAAATGATAGTGATTTATTTGAACTTGTGTGAATCTTGTCAAAAAAAACAGAAGGTTCCTAAGAAAGGTCTAGTAGTTAAACCTATCTTGAGTAAAGATATGAACTCTAGATGCCAGGTGGATCTAATAGACATGCAGTCTCAGGAAGATGAAGGCTATAAGTTTATCCTCGTTTATCAAGATCATTTAACCAAATTCGTGCAACTGAGACCTCTAAAAACCAAACGTGCTGAAGAAGTTGCTTATGTTTTGCTAGACATATTTACTATATTTGGCGCCCCGTCTATCTTGCAAAGCGATAATGGTCGGGAATTTGCGAATTGTGTGATCACTGAACTTTGTGACATGTGGCAAGAACTAAAAATGGTGCATGGAAAGCCTAGACACTCACAAAGTCAGGGTTCAGTGGAGAGGTGCAATCAAGATGTCGAAAATATGCTGAGTTCCTGGCTAACCACAAATAAAAGCAAGAAGTGGTCAGAAGGGTTACGTTTCGTTCAACTGATGAAAAATAGAGCTCATCATAGCGGCATAAATTGCAGCCCATATGAAGCCATGTTTGGTGTGAAATTGAAAGTTGGACTTAAGAGTTTTGTTCCTGATGATGCATTAACGAACCTTAATACAGAGGAAGACTTGGAGACTCTTTCTGAGGCAAGAGATACTACAACACCAGATGTAGAACGCAATGCGTTCGAGGAAGACTTGAAAACCCATCCTGAGACAAGCGATACTGCAATAGCAGTTCTAGACCGCAATGCGTCTAAGGAAGACTCGGAGATGGAAGCCCTTTTTGAGACAAGCGATACTTCAACACCAGTTATAGACCGCAATGTGCCCGAAAAAACGACTACACCTTCAACGTCATCTTTGAGAAATATTGAGCATAAAGATATTGATGTCAACTCGGAATTAACTTTGGACAAAGGCGATGAGATAACAATTTCACCACAAATAAGTGAAAAAATAGAAAACACCCGGAAAACGAGAAACATGGCCTGGAATAATCTTAAAAAACAAGCAACTAAAATGATTAATACATCTAATTCGAAATTCCCTGCAGCAAACATTGGTGAAACCGTTAGAGTTCGTGTACCTGATGTCGATCGATCGCGCAGTGATGAACGAAATATGGTATATTGAATCAATTATATACCGGGAACCAATTCAGCATTTGTAAGGAAAACTTTATTGTTCATGAAGAAGTGCCGAATGCAGAAATTTCTCTTAGGGAATGTGCAAGACTGTCATCAATCAGTGGAGGACAGGGTTACAATAGATGCAACTGTAAAGGTGGTTGTAGATCAGATAGGTGTAAATGCTACAAGGATAAAAAGCTGTGCATCTCAAATGCCATCAAAGTCTGAACTGTTCCAATAAATAAAGTCCAAGCTTATTGGTATGTATTCTATTGTATTTTATTCATGTAGATTTACGTTGATTTTGTTTGTCTTTAAGTTTCCTGTCATTCAAGAACTGAATCTAACAATGTTCAGAATCTCATTAAACAAAATAAACTTACAAAGCTGTGTATTAGTTATGTTGCCCTATTTGTACGTACCTACCATTGTAATTATAAATATTACCACGTCAAAGTAATAATTTGCTTAAATTTCTTACTTTGCCCATTTTAAGCATTATTTATAATGCCGGATTGAAAATGGCCTATTAATTACTCGCCCGTAATAGTAATAACAGATGTCTTTATTATTCTGCCCAATAGATGATAGTCATTATGTATAATGCCCGGGCAATTTAATTATTCCAAATGACCTTATCACATTGCCCGCTCATATTGGTCATTTTTCAAAATGACCGGGCATGATTTATAATGCCCGATTCATCACTTTGTCCGTAACATATATATATATATATATATATATATATATATATATGATGTTTGCGACTATTATTTTGAATAATTAAATTAATTACCAACCGTATTATGATATATGGTCGTTCTTAAAAACCGTTAATATAACTGGTATTTTATTTTCAATCTTATGTTATAATAGCTCAAGAGAATTTAAAAATCTATCAAGTAATCTAAAAATCCAATATGGCGCCCATTTAACTTTAGGAAGTTGGTAAATGTTCCTCAAAAGTGGCCATCTTAAATTTTTTTTTGACATCAATTCTAAATTAAGCGTATCAAAGACAGTCACTTTTATATAAAACTTTTTTTTATATCTCTTATACTTTCGATGATATTAGACATTCAAGGAAATGACCAATTTTAGTTTTTTTGAATTTACGTCGAACCTATGCGACATTTTGAATTTCCATAAGGAAATTTTAAATAAGCATCTAAAACTGCAAAACATTGCCCATTTAACCAATTCTCTATCTTTAATAATAACAAAGTTACCCATGCAATCCCACGCGATCTGGGACACACTGTATATACAGACGGGTCTGCGGTGTTTTTTTTTTTGTGGGGTTGTAGATTGTGTTTGGGAGTGGTTGCAGATGTGTTTAGTGGGTAGTAGATATGAGGGTGGTTGTGTGTGTTAAGGGGTAGTAAGAAAAAATTGGTCAGCGCGCGATTTCTAATTTTAGTTTCTGTTATTTTAGTAGAGCGCGAGTGTAAATGTATTTCTTATGGGATGAGATTTTGTGTACAAAGTTGTGAAAATCTTCATAAGTGCAATGTATTTCTTATCTAGAGATGAGTGATTTCGTGTATAGTATAGTATGCAAGTATGTGATTACATTATTGCGGATTATTAATCCTTTTTATCAATAAGGGATGTATGCATCCGCGATTTTCTCCTATAAAAGACAATTTCTAATGTTAATTATAAAAGTCGTGCTTACATACAATGGCACTAAACTTGACAAAATGCCAGTGGTTGCATCTGCAGGTGCATCAATTTGTGCCTGAGGTAAGAAAACTATATTATGCTTTTGAAAATTGATAATAATTTATAATTTTGCAGGGGTATATTTTATTGTGCCCGTGTGCTCACAATCTCCACTATAATGAGCACAGAGATCTACTCCTATACATGGAACCTTTCTTCGGGGATTATTTTATATGGGTGTTTACGAACAGTTTGCCCGAAGGAAGTGGTGTTGCCTACTGCAGAGTAGGACCGTAAGTTGTTGTTTTGTGCTTGTTGTTGAAAATTATTTACAATTGTAATTCTCTTTAGCGTGTCTTAGTTGTAAATGTAATATAATTCTTTTTCCAGACGAATCTGCATCTCCAATATACAGAATTGTATATAGGAATAGGAAGGAGAAGCAACGACGACGACGACGATTCTGCAATATATAGAGAAATTGTTTATAGGAAATTTACAATTTGTTTATCATGATATTGTCATAATTGGAATAAAACATACCTGATTGGATTTCAATAATAACAACAACAACCGCTATTGGTTTTACAAATTTAATTGTGTCGTAGTTTGTTGATAAGTAGAACTCGACTGGTTTCCATGCAATTTCTAATAACTATATATATATATAACATCAGTTCATGTCAACAATCTCGACTGCTGAATAACAGGAAAACCGCAAGGTCGCTCTCTATCGAAATAACAAGAAATGAATTTACTAAATAACAGGACACCTCAAAGAATAACAGGAAACCGCAACCGCAAACGACTAAATTTAAAATAATGTCGAATGCTGAATAACAGGAAAACCGCAAGGTTATACACTCGCGCCCTCATATCTACTACCCACTAAACACATCTGCAACCACCCCCAAACACAATCTACAACCCCACAAAAAAAAAAACACCGCAGACCCATCTCGTCTTACTAAGACATCTCAAAATTTATTTTTCTTACTACCCTCATCAACAACCACCCCCCATACATCTACTAACCCCTAAACACACCTGCAACCCCTAAACACACATCTGAATGTGTAAACACCGCAATCAAGACCGATCCAAAAAGTGAGTTTTTGTCACTGAAATCTCCCATAAGAAATACATTGCGCTTATGGAGATTTACATTGTGCCAGAACGTAGGAAATCTTATCGCTAACATCTTCAACTGTCCATAGCACGTCTTCAAATGCCATAGGAACTGCAGAGAAATTTATTGTGAAGACGTAGGCAAGATTGATAAGAATTTGTCAAATTCCTTACGTAACAGTGAACACACACTGTACGGCACAGTAAAAGTTGTAAAATAATGTTGCCACTTACCTAAGCTCATTTAGTAATAAAACTAATAACACAGCGAATAGCTTTTGAAACTCGGTCACACGTAGTGGATTGAGATATGATAGAGGGACATCCTGGCAGTCCTTGGTGAAATGTGGTTGGAGAAAACCCTGGTTACAAAATCAAGGAGTATATGGTATATCAAAAACGATTCAGAGAAATGAAAACGACACAGAGAGAATAAAAACACCACCTCGTACAAGAAATATTTATTGGTTGCAACCAAGCAGCGTAATTTTGATTATGGACCAAATGCTGAGGAAAGAGAACTAACCGAAGAAGAATTTGATTCAAAAGGTTACATGAATACCGTATAAAATGGGATATCTACATTATAGATTACCGGAAAAGATATCTCGGAATTAATTGCCAATGAACCGTTGAGCCAATTTGTATGTAAATCGTCGAAAACACCGATTAACGGCGTCAATTTTTAGTCAAGTGGTCACAAGACTCCCGACAACGCCGTGCCATAATTTAATGAAACAAATATTAATATTATCCGCTGTAATAAAAAAATAGCGGAGCAATTAAGTACTGGAATAATAGTGAGAGCATGGTAAGAGGAAGGAGTTATTTAGCTGCTTCTCCTGATGGTAAGTGATGATTATTTCCAGTTTAAAACAAGATCACACTATTATTTTCAGGATGCATATAAAAGGGCGAAGCATATTCGAAATCGGGGTGAATTCCTTTGAAGACTTTTTGCTCAAATTACTTTTTCAAGGTCATCCAAGGTCAATGAATACCATTGCCTTTAAATAATGTTCCTGGTATAATGACAGTATGTAGCTACCGACTATATAAGTTTTTGAACGTATTATCATAAGCACAGTTCTACAATGTCATGTCGGCGAACAACCACATTCAATTGCCGTTTCTGATGCCTAGATACGATCTATAAGTAGAAACAAAATATTTACCATGTTGCGATTTTTGTCGGGAAGGTTAAATAAATAGGTAATGGTTCTTCGCTGACCAACTTTATTCAATTAATCTGAGCAACTGTGCCCCTGCTCTGGTTCATTGCAAGACATGCCCACATACCAATCAACATTCAACTTCAATAAATGTACATCGAAATACGAGTAATTGTAAATATGGACAATGGACAACAGCTTCAGATCCCGAAGATGAAGACATCTTCGATCGGCAGACTGTGGTGATAGACTTAAGTGATCGAGAAGCAGGTTTGGAGATAGAAATCCCCAACGGATTTTTTACAGATGAGCGTGAAGACGGAGATCTCTGATTTACGTACAAAGCGGATAAGGTCCATTGAAAATAAACATAATGAAAAACGTTTCCAAGGCCAGGTGTCATATTTCACTTTTTTTCGATAATCTGATTTTCCTTGGGTTTCTATAATCAGAGAGTGGTGACAGCGTTATGGAGCCACCGAGCAAGAACCTGGAACAGCTCCACTTTCACATAACCTATTCGTGCGGCCCGTATCTCAACCTACAGCAGAAAGGTCACCAACCCCTGTTACTTCGATTGCAGATAGTGACATAGAGGAAGAATTCAATATGAAGAGTAAGTACATTTAATTAATAGCTTTTTAGTTTGTTGTTCTCTTGCTACATGCATTACTAATTTTTGTAATATACTTTTTATAGTATTGCACCCACAACGCAGTCCGAATCCTCTCTGCCGCTTCCGCCACTACCACAGTTGGGTGGTAAAAATCAAAAATTAGCTTTTGCGAAGTTTCTATCAGCTTCACCATATACACTTCAGGCGTCAGTTACCCTTGGGGCCAATGACAATCTAGATGAATCGGTTTTTGAAGAAATTGAATCTTTTATTTGCAGCGTATACTTATAATCATAATATTACTGGTATTATACCCGGCATTTGTCATTTGCCTAGTTTGTCGACCTGGATCTTCGACTTTAGCTACCGCAAGGATGTAGCTCCTTTCTTTCAGGAAAGTAGGCAACCCAACATCCACCGATTGTCGTGAAGAACAGGAATGGCGTAGAAGGGAGGTTTTATAGGTCCGTAAGTTAAGATCGAGGCTAAGTGTAGCCTGATAACCTGCTAGGACCTTACAAATTGGCGCCCGAGCAGTCTAAAGGATAGCAGAAAGCACAAAAGGTTAGACAACGCTTATGTCTACTAGCCTCATTGAATACGCCTACGTGACCACGGCTAGTAGGTAAAATCGTTTTTTTTCTCTATTTAATCCAAAATTTAATAGTTGCAATTTCAGATCAAGAAATTGAAGTTGTTTGCGGAAATAAGTAGACGAAAAGGGTAAAGGAAAAGAGGTAAATATATCCGTATATTATACTTTTAACCGTATATTTTTATAGAACTCCGCAAACGAATGATGGACAAATATAAATCAGTAAGTACTTTACATGAATCATGCCATATGTTAATTTTCTACAATATAAGAGAATGTAGCGATAATTCGCGGTTTGGGGGTAATCCCCTCAACAGAAAAAGTGGAGGAAGGGGTATACAAAAATATGAAAATATACCTAGCGAATATTTTTTGGATTTTTATGTAAGTAGCTAACCGCTTTAATAATGTCACGCTTCAATCTGTATTTATTTTTTCAGATCTAAATAAATACCTAATCTTGATTTTGTTTTTCCTATACACTTCTACATACGATTACCAGCATATGGACGTTCTAGTTAATCCCTTATATAAAATAATTTTGTTTTTTTTCAACCCTCGATATGATATGATAATAAAATGGAACTTGCCCGTAAGGGTAGAATAGGTACTTTAGCGACGACCTGCTTCCGTAATGCAACAAACATCACGTTATCGTATGTAATAGGTATCAATCCCGTATCTATACATTGGCTAACCGGTTTGGCACTTACAGGTTTCTCTGAACCCAGAAATGCAACATAGTTTTGATTTCTCTGTGCACTCTTTCATAATTGCAGCAATCGAAAGGAGGGCCAGCACCACAAGACAAGTTTTAACTTTTACCTTGGTTTGGGGCAGATTTTTATCCTCTATCGTTAAACCACATCATTAACGTCGCGGTTCATTGCACTTCATTAAACACGAATACAGTCAAAAGACCGGAAGCTTGTGGTAGTGGTAGGAAAATTAGTTTCGAGAGCATTTGGAATTCCTGAATCAAATTTAAGACTTCGGAAAAAAGAACAAAGTATCCAGTCCAAAACTAGGAAGGTCTACAACATTTTCACCGCACGTCGAGAAGAAAATTGCCGATCATGTTCATTTAGTAAGATCCATGGATTAATTCCGACTGAGTTAAAAAACTTGCATTTTAATATGCCGAGCAAACTTTAACAAACACACAACTGTGGTGAAGCAGGAAAAGGGACGTCGGATTACCACAAAGAAAGTATTGTCGACCCTATTTTTCGACGCTACGGGATCATTGGTAAGGAACTTAAACTTTAATCCTCAGGAAAAGCGCATGATTTATTATGCAGGTGTCATACAAATTAATGACACTATTCTTCCCCTTTTGGAATTTAATTCAAGTACCCATGGCGCTGACTCAATCACTAGTTTCTTGATCAGATTTAAATACTTCGTTGAAAAAAATTATCATAATTGGCCATGTTTTTCTCGAGTTGTTGTGGATTTACACAATAAAGATTCATCTGATCTTAAGAGCTTAGTACCTGTCCACATTTGCTGTGCACATTTTATGCACAGCTTCCCAAGGCGCATAAAAAGTATGAATATTAAGAAGGGCGTAGGCAATGTACTTCTAGATGGAATCGCTTCTTTGTTTGATCATGTCGAAAACTATGGACGAGGTGAATACATTCTTCAAACACTTTCTCATGATTCTGTTGAGTCTATACGAAACTTCACATGTTCAAACTGCCTTTTCTGCAATGAGCAGTGAGCAATACAAACATATCTCAGACCCTGAAATGGAAGAAAGAGGACCATACAGATTCTGACGATCCTTACAATTGAATAAGGGAGATCAAAAATCCACTAAGTCGCCATTTTGGTGAAATTAAGTTTTTGCGTAACATCCATTCTAAATCACATTTTGCACGATGTGGAACACAAACACCCTCCTAGTCATCGCCTTTAGCGAACTTATTTGAGTATAAAATATACGTGGAAAGCAAAACTTCCCTAAGTCTAACGACTAAGTGGGTTTTTGTATTCCATGCGCATGACCGTGCGTGGTTGTCCACCTCCAACTCACAGCTGATTGAAATTTTTAATATTGTAGTTAATTACCTACTATCGACGTACGATTAGTGACACGTTGTTTTGTGTTGTATAATGTCAGAATCAAATGATTCGGGTCACAGTGAAACAGAAATCAATGTAAAAAAGCGACGGCATGAAAAAGAATGGAAACGTAATAAAATAAAGAGACTAAAAGCTGAAGGGAAAGCACATGTTAACTGGAAAGGACGTCTGGTGCCTGCAAGATCTACTGGAGACAGTTGTAGGTAAGTGTTTTTATAATCTCACTAAGAACAAATTCGGCAAACACGGTGTTCATTATTGTAGCTGCAAACGCCTGTGTTTTTCAAAATTCAGTGCCGACTCCAAGCAACATATTTTGGACCAGTTTAATAAACTTGGTTCTGATGGAAATAAGATAGCTCAGGACACGTACCTACAAGGACTTATAAGTGCTCATGCGATCAAAAAACGTAGGCCACGAAAAGAAACTCCCTCAAGCACTAGGTGTGCTTCCTATACCTATAAAATTAAAATAGGAAACGAGGAAACTCCAGTATGTACTCAGGCTTTTTGTAGTTTACATGGAATAAAACCTGACAGGGTTAAAAGACTAGCACGGCTTGTGAATAGTGGGCTAGTATCACAGGAGCAGCGAGGTAAACATAATACTCGTCCAAATCAGGTGTCATCTCAAGTTCTAATGTTGATTGACCAACATATTCGCAGTTTCCCTTATCGTGTATCGCATTACGCTGCCAGTAACAAAAAACGAAGGTACCTCGCTAGTACACTATCTATTACAAAAATGTATGAGCTGTTTCTACAAAAACATGACTCAGAAGCACATAGAACACTCACATCAAAAAAGGTTTCCGCAGATAAAATACATGGAGTAGCATCTTACCGTACCTTCCTAAAATATTTTCGTGACCACTTTAACTACGGGTTTGGTAGGCCGCAAGTAGATAAATGCAGGGAATGTGAGCAACTGAATGTGAAGATTCAAACTGAAAAAAACGTCACGATTAGGGAAAAACTTCAGGCTCAACTGAAAGTACATAATGTGAAGGGTAAGACGTTCTACAATGAAATAAAACGTTGCACAACGCTTGCAAAAAACAATGACGATACTGAAATGATAACATTTGACTATGAACAAAATCTCCCCGTACCAGTGACTAACGTTTCCGACGAATTTTATTTAAGACAACTCTGGGTGTATAACTTCGGAGTTCATGGGATGTCAGATGACAAGCAAGTTATGTACATGTATGATGAGACTGTAGCAAAAAAAGGATGTTCCGAAGTTACTAGCATGCTAAAACATTACATTGACAACTATGTTCCTGTGGCAGTTAGAAAGTTATACGTTTTCTCCGACGGTTGCACGGGACAGAACAAAAATCATACATTGGTGGAGTTTTTTTTCTCATTAATCAAGACAGGAAGATTTGATTACATTGAGCAACGATACCCAATAAGAGGACACAGTTACTTGCCCAACGATAGAGATTTCGCGAAAATAGAAGTCCAGAAACGAAAGCAAGGGAAAGTGGAGATACCCCAACGCTGGTACGAGATAGTCAGAGAAGATTGTAAATTTGAAGTTGTTGAGGTAAATAGAACAATGATTTTTGACTTTAAAAAACATTTTACCAATATCTTCAAAAAAAACATTACGAATGCTTCAAAGGAAAAATTCCTTATTTCAGAAGCAAAAATAATCAAATACTCCATCTCCCACATTAATGAAATCGCAGTAAGTACGGCGATGAGTGGCATACTTTTTACAAACTTCAGAATAATGAAACCGAACACCAAGATTTCTATGCCCACTCGCCCAATGTATGATGAACCCATTCCTGTAAAAGAAAAGAAGATAGCCAATTTGAAGCTGTTGATTCAGTACCTTTCTGAGGAAGGACAGCAGTACTTTACTCGCGTATTTGAAGGGGGTACAAATCCAGAGGACGCTGAAAGTGACTCGGATACAGAATATCTGTGAAAAACGTGACATTTTTTGTATCGCTTGCGTTTTGTGTGAGGATATATCATACTTTTCAGAATAAATTTTATTTTGTTTTTATGTTAATATTATATATATTCTTATAGTACGCATTAAATGTTTATTTCTGAAATTTTTTTGCTCTGGAAATCAAATATCCTCTAAGTCTGCAAAATTCAACCCCCTCTAAAAGGGTGCAAATGGATGTCTAGTAAAACTAGCCTCTGGTAGCTTGCTAGGTTCGATGTATCCATGATGTTATGTGAATATAAGATTGTTCCATTGGGAATTACGAGATAAAAATAGTTTTTCCTCTCTCCTGAAAAATTGGTGTTTCGTGACTTGTGGTGTTTTTGATTTCCATGATTCAATTTTCCCCACTCTCCCCGAGATACATTAATGTTCAAACATTTCAATTCAGTATACAGAGACGTCGAAATTACAGCCATGAGTGTTTCTTCAACAACACCGAATCTTTTTTATTGTTCCGAGTTTGCAGAACTGTTATTAAACAAATATATCCCATATATCGTATTGTGGTCTGGACTATTGTTGACTCCGGACGAACAACGCATTTCCAATACTGTAGTGGAATGCTGGTTCAAACAAATTAAACACGATGTTGCGGAAAATAAGATGAAGCAAAAGGTTGGTAGGTTTATGTCAAAATTACAAAACCGCATGGAATCGCTATGCATGAAGACTAAATTCATCCCGCGATTAAAGCGAAGACAAAAGATTGCCTCTTCTACCACATCCCTTAAAGCAAATTTAGCTGATTTGCAGGAAGTTATCGTTGAAAATAAATCGATACTAAAAAGGCCAAATACTCCTCAAGTCGTTAGTTCCCCTAAAGTGCATGTGGATCCTAGTAATCCTTTGGTTGAAGAGGTTTGGAAAAAATGTGCAGTTCCAGAATCGAAAACTCACTTTCAGTCCAGGCATTTCAAAAAGGTTAGATTTAATAGTCATCAACGAACAGGAGTTAGTAAAAAGTAGTGATAGTCTTTCTATTCCCTCCAATTGTATGGCAAACTTCTTACGTGAACAGCCTTCATATTATTTGGGAAAAAGCATAAAAGTAAACTATATTGTTGGTAGGTATCATCATCCAGGATTTCGAGACATTCTTCTAGCTCATGATGAATGTAGGTCCCTTTTTGGTAGGAGTTGGCTTGGCGGGTTTGCAATAGATGCGGCAGGTCTTTCATTCATGAAAGATAATGTAAATCCCACAATTATCTCTCAACGAGATTCTCCACTTCTTTGATGAAACATCTGTCATACTCTGTTGGACAGGAATTAGCATTAAACAGTATTTCTTTGCCGGATACTACAACTATCGTTATGCCATATAACATAAGAAGCAATCATTGGATTGTTTTAATGGTGGATTGTTTAAATTCCCAATTTATTGTGTATGACCCCTCACAGGACTCCACCTCTGCACGACCCATTCACAGGTAGAAATATACTTGCGAAACTTTTCAGAGTATTTAAAGGACCGACACAGAAAATACGGTGGGGAAAGTTTTCATTATCCGATTTCCTTATCAAACGGATTCACACAACTGCGGAGTTTTCTGTATACACTATATATTTCGTTTATTTAATCATTCATTTGATACTGACAACTTTGTTCCCGCGCCCCCTTTCGCCTTAAGTTGCAAGAACTTGTTTTGAGGAATTCGGAAAATATGTACAATAGCTGCTTAGTATGTGGTTTGGAAGAAAAGCAAAGATGCCATCGCTGGGTTCAATGCTCCAATTGTTTTAGATGGTTACATTATATACAGGGTGATTCCTATAGTACCTGCCACCGTTTGGGAGCGTGTAGGTGGTGCGTAGGGGAGTATTTTGATATAGGACACTTGGGGTCGGAAATCTAAAATAAGGGTGCCAGAGCCAAATTTACCTTCTGGAATTTCGCGCCTGTAGGTAGGCAACCCAACCGGCCGGCGTTGCACACGGAGCGATCTCAGGCGGCGATGTGTGGCTGACACTTGATCAGAATTTTGTTTAAACCCACGAAATCCCGTCTGCAACGACGCGTATCAAGTGAATAAACACTATGGCACGTTTTACTAACACGGAATACGCGGACATGCACTTCATGTACGGATTGGCAAATGGTAACGCACGAGCTGCACGACCAGCGTACGCTGAGCGGTATCCAAACCGTCAGTTACCCTGCAGACAGGTCTTTCAAGAAGTTCACTTCCGACTGTGCGAGACAGGGCAATTGCAGGTAAGCTGACGGAGGCTTAACTTTACACACAGATTCGTGATGCACATCGATACTTGGGTCATTTAAGCACCCATTTCGAAAAGTTTGTTTGTTGACACCGACCTCCTCCTATTTCGCAGCCCACTAGCGCCCGTGTGCACCGCCGGCCGGTTGGGTTGCCTACCTACAGGCGCGAAATTCCAGAAGGTAAATTTGGCTCTGGCCCCCTTATTTTAGATTTCCGACCCCAAGTGTCCTATATCAAAATACTCCCCTACGCACCACCTACACGCTCCCAAACGGTGGCAGGTACTATAGGAATCACCCTGTATGTATTCCAGATATGTCCCAAAAACTAGGGCTAGAGGATCCGTCATTTGTTTTCACTTGCTTTCTTCGCATAGCATAATGCATTCACTTTTTTAAAAGCATTCGTATATTGTTACACTACACACAGTGATCTTTTACCTTACTCTTCAAACTGCACGTTCATTTCCATTGCCTCGACACCTGGATTTGCTAGGGAAGTGCATTTGGAGAGGTATAGTAGTCGAAAGACTGCATTACGCTTCAAATTGGACGTTCATTTCCAGTACTTTTGTCTTATGGCTCGGCCATATAGAGCGCTATGTTCGCTACGTACGCGATGTTCGCTATACGACGAAAATATATCTTCCGTTATGGATAACGGGACTGGCCACACAGATCCGCGTACGCTATGTTCGCGACGTTCGCTATGTTAGCTGCGTCGCTGAAGGTTTTGTTGTCGGATATATTTTAATTCGTCGCCGAGTACGGGCTTGCGCTATACAACGGTCCAACGCGTGTTTTGGTTTTAATTTACGCCTCGTGCAGTGTAGTTGCAAGTCTAGGTGGTGTCGACGTGTATTGTTAAGTAAACAAACATGGTGTTAGAAAAAACAACGACCATGTTTATGGAAAAAGTCCTTGGAGGAGTATAGGAATCAAAATGTAAGGGATAATGCGTGGGAGCAGATTAGTAAAGTTTTACATAGACCAGGTAAATACATAATACATATATAATTATATTATAATACTAATTATCATAAAATATTAACTATGCGATTCACTACTCTTCTTGCCATTCCACTCGACCCTCATCAGACATAAAGTACTCCATGAAAGAAGTTCTAGCCTCTAGGGCAGCCATGTCAAACATGCGGCCCGCGGGCCGCATGCGGCCCCATGCGACAATATTTGCGGCCCAATGACATTTGTATGTAAAGTCTATTAATGCGGCCCGCCATTGTTTAATTACAGTAAACTTTACACGTACAGAGGGTAAAAATAGAATTACATAGAATTTGCTGTCGATAAATCTCGCCCGAGTTCGGCGATCCCTCACTGCGTGTGCGCGCTTTTGTACTGTTGTGTACAGATTGAGTGGACTTGAGTCAGTCTGGTCTGGTCAGTCAGAGTTAAACAGTAGTGTTGCTTATTGAAATTAATATCGTCAAACTACTTTTATAATTGTTAGATAGATATTACAAATAATTTGTAAATCGAGTTGCAAATAATAATGTCTCTTTCAAAACCAAGTGGCAGTAAGAGAAAAATAACAGATGAACATCGTATCTTTCAAGAAAAATGGGAATTAGAATTTTTTTGTTGTGAAGTAAAAGAGAAAATTATTTGCTTAATTTGCAATAGTACAATTGGGGTCTCGAAGTTATATAATATTAAACGGCATTATGAGCAGCACAAAACCAAGTTTGATCAGTATGAGGGATTGCTTCGACGTGAAAAATTAAAAGAACTGAAGTCAAAATTAAAGAATCAACAATTAATGTTTACGCGCCCTATGCAAGAAAATGAATCTGCTGTTCGTGCAAGCTATGCATTGTCTGAAATGATTGCAAAACACTCAAAACCGTTTACTGAAGGTGAATTTGTCAAACAGTGTCTTGTAAAAGCTGCCGAAATTGTTAGTCCTGGAAGCGTGAAGGCATTTCAAAATATATCTTTGTCTCGGAATACTGTCGCAGAAAGAATTACTGATATAGCAGGCAATTTAAGTGATCAGATGAAAACAAAAGCAATTAGTTTTACTGCATTTTCCATTGCTTGTGATGAAAGTACTGATGTTTGTGGTGTAGCCCAATTAGCTGTTTTTCTTCGTGCTGTGGATGAGGAATTTAATATTTATGAGGAGTTACTGGAATTAGTACCATTGCACGATACAACAACCGGAGAAGACATATTCAATGCTGTTTACGAACTTTTACAAAAATATAACTTGCAGCTGTCACAACTATCTTCGGTTGCTACAGATGGGGCCCCTTCCATGACTGGAGTGAACAATGGCTTTATTAAATTATTACAAATGAAAACCAGGGAACTATGCAGGGACAAGCCAGACTTCCATCATATTCATTGTATAATACATCAAGAAGTTCTCTGTTCCAAAGTTATCAAGATGGAACGCGTTTTAAAAGCCGTTAAGAAAACTATAAATTTTATAAGATCTCGTGGTTTAAATCAGCGACAATTTACTGACTTCTTACGTGACCTGGAAAGTGAATACTGTGGACTACCTTATTATACCGAGGTGCGGTGGTTATCGTGTTCTAGTGTTCTTGATTGATTTTGGAAACTTAAAGAGGAAGTACGTCTTTTTATGGAGGTGAAGGGACAAGATGCCAGCTTATTATCGGACCAAGATTTTTTACAGGATCTTTCATTTATGGTAGATATCACAAAGCACTTGTCTGAATTGAATTTAAAATTACAAGGAGCCAATCAAATAATAACAAACATGTATGATCAAGTGAAGGCTTTCAAATGTAAACTGATGCTTTGGGAAAAACAGTTGGAAACTGACAATCTGAGTCATTTTCCGACTTGTGATGTCTTTAAGAAAAGTAGAAGCTTTCCAATTTCGTATATTAAGTATGCTGAGAAAATCCGAAGCCTTATGACTGAATTTGAACAACGATTCAAAGATTTCAAATTGCAGGAAAACAATTTTGCGTTATTTACAGGTATTTTCTCTATCGACATTGATAAAGTGCCCAGTCACTTGCAAATGGAGGTAATTGAAATTCAGTGTCAAGCCCACTTAAAACAGAAGTTTGACGATGTCGGTGCACAAGACTTCTACAAGTATTTACCTGTCCAGTACCAACACGTAGGAAAATTTGCTTGTGAAATCATTTCAATGTTCGGAAGCACCTATCAGTGCGAGCAATTATTTTCCCTCATGAAAGGAAACAAATCTCCCGCAAGATCACGATTGACTAACACACATTTAAATGCAGTTTTAAAAATAATTTCCACAAATAAAGTTACCCCTGAAATTGATAATTTAGTTAAAAACAAAAGATTCCAAATTTCTGGGAAAAAGTTGTAAAATTATAGTTTTTTTGATTGAGACTAAACTAAATCTAAAATGTATTTTGTAACTCAATTTTACTTTAAATTTTTTATATTACACGAGTGCGTATCCGTATACATTCAACGAAATAAAAAATAAATTTAGTTACTGCGTTACGTTTTTGATTTCAATAAGTCTTTAGATTTCCTTTGCGGCCCACACCTTCGATGCTCTTGATGAATTTGGCACAACTCTAACTTTGAGTTTGACATGCCTGCTCTAGGGCTTCCCTTGATGCATTTCTTGCAGTACCAGCACGCATTTGAACTAAATTCTGTACTACTTCGCCTACCTCCTCTTCGTCTTCTTCGTTTGCCGGAACACTGGCCTGAGTTAACAATGATGCCCGTAGATAGTTATGCAACACCACCGTAGCTTTGACAATTTTATCAGCAAGTTCAAGACGACACTCTAGTGGATGATGATATACCCTCCAAGTATTAGAAAGAATACCAAAAGCATTTTCAACGGTATTCCTGCTTCTTGAAAGTCTGTAGTTGTAAATTCGCTCTGCTTCACTGAGTCGTCGGCCTGTTCTCGGAAAAGGTCTCATAAGGTATCTTTTAAGGGGAAAAGCCTCATCCCCCACTATGACGTATGGCAAAGAGACCCCGCCCAAATTTTCATCTGGAGGCAAGCCAATGTTTCCTTCAGTCAAACGCTTACCGATTGCACTATTCGTAAACAAACTTCCATCACTAACTCTCCCATACTGTCCTACATCTACAGCAAGGAACCTTTTATTACCATCGACTAATGCCAACAAAACAATTGAATAGTACTTCTTGTAGTTGAAAAATTCGGAGCCTTAATTCTAACATGTTTGCCATCAAGTGAAGCAACACAGTGAGGAAAGTTCCATCTTTCTCTGAAAACGTTTTCGGATGCTCTCCAAATCTCTTCATTTGGCTCAGGCATAACTATAGCTTGGATGTTTTTCCAAATCGCTTCACAAACCTCTTCAATAATCTTACTGACTGTAGATCTACCCATACGATAAGTAAATGCCATTGATCGGAACGAATTTCCTGTTGCGAGGTACCTTGAAAAAAGGACTAAAATGTTACTAAGCTAAAATTTAATTTAATGTATGTGTTAATAATTGTTACAAAGTTGCAGCTGATGATCTAAAGGCGGAATGGAAAAAGCTACAAGATAGTTTCAGGCAGGCTATGTTAAGAAGAAGAACTAAAAGTGGACAAGCTTCAAAGAAAATGAAAGTCTGGAAGTATGAATTGCAGATGTCCTTCTTGCTGGCGGATACCATTCCACGAGGGTAAGTAATAAACAGAGAAGAGGGGAATAGAGGAGATATGATTATTGTATTATCCTTTACAGAACAGATTCGAATGTTGCAACAGTGCAGAACGAGGGTGATGAGGACTTCGTTGAACTGAACGCGACGGGTGGCGGAAATGAAGAAAACGAAAAAGAAGAGACAGATGGTGGTGAAGACAAGGCTGAAAATGAGCAAGAGGGACGTAGCAGAATCTTTCGTAAGCGAAACAGGAAGCTAGTTAAAGAAAATGAACAGGATGTTGATAAAGTGATATCGTTCATGAAGGAGAAAAAACAAGAAAGCAAAAAGTTATTAGGTGAACTTGATTACTTCTTTGCTAGTGCCTGTGAGAGTGCGAAGCGTCTCCCTCGACATTTATAGTTGAGAGTAAAGCGAGAAGTGATGAACACAATTTTAAATGCTGAAACGGAGTCCCTGAGCTCTACTCCGGCATCTGCCTCTGCACCATCGTCAGCCACTAACATCAGTGCACCACCGTCAAGGGCTGCTTCATCACTTACCTACAATTCATGCGAGACGGAAGAAAGCTACTATAATCAGGATTACGGTTATGATGCTAATTATGATTTAACGGCAGAAGGAGAAAATAACTTTTCGTGTAAACAGTGATTAATATTAATATTAATTGATTTTCATTAACTTTTGTTCCTCATTAACAAGTCAAAAAATATATCGTTTTTATAAACAGCATGTTTTACTTACCTCAAACAAAGAGCTAATCGTTCTTCTGGTGGTATACTGTCCCTATAGTTAAGGTTCGTCTTTTCGATGTCGTCTTTGATAAGTGTCAAAATATTGTCAAACTGGGTTTGGGTCATTCGAAAATATTCTTTAAACTTAATTTCGTCATCTCGCAAATGTTTCATTAGATGATTATATTCACCACATTCTTTTCTTTTTAAGTTGACGTCATGCACCCAATTTCTTTTACGTTTCTTATTATTATTACATAATGATAAAAGCAACAGTACATCATCTTCGTAGGAAGAACCATCGCTGCTTTGCCAGGGTACACTATCCACCAACATGATCTTAATAAATGAAAAGCGAGACTGAAATATTTTCGTAATAAAGAAACGTAGCGTTTGGTCTGGCAACCCAACATAGCAAACATAGCGAACGTAGCGTGCGTAGCGTTCATAGCGTAGCTTTCTGTCTGGCCACGGCATTACGCTTACGTTCTTAAAGCCACTTCATAAATTTTAAACAAATTGATCTGTGCAACTTGTTTCATGTTCATTTGCAATAAATGTAAATGTGTACCTAAGTTAAAAGTAAAGTTAATGGGCATATAGGGTTACAGGCGAACTCCCCCATGGAAAATATTGGAGTAACGCATCATGGCATGGTACCTCCTGTATAAAATTTTGCATAGAAATAATTTTAAAACAATTCTACGCGAACTTTTAAACTAAGGTGATGTGGAAATCTGTGTATCAATTGAGAACGATTCATTCATTTATTCACAGTTACTTAGGCACCCCTAAAAAAGCATTATATGGGTATCTCTGTGATTGGGCGTAAGCCTGTTGAGAGCTGAGAACTAGAGAGGGATAATAAATAAATTTATAAGTCTTAAAATGGATTAATTTATAACAGTAATTATACGCGCGAACTATTCATTACTTCGGCGTTGAAATTGGAATTGACCGAAACGCAATTCTATTTTCTTATACAGCAAACGCCGCTCTTTCTCGAACGCTTCCGAGTATTCTAGAATGTTCTCGAACAAACACGTCGTATTTCCCGGAAAGATTGCGTCACATCTATATTCGCTCTTTATCACCGATTCTTCTTCTTTCATGGTGCCTCGGGATTTCTGGAATATTCGTTACAATGTTTCTTGATATATATTCTACCGGCAATCGAACTATCTAGAACAGTTTTGACTACCACAAACGGCAATTTAGGACAACTCATCTATTGTTTTTTTATCTGCATCGTTCGGAAGCAATACGGTGGACGGTCCACAATTTTTATACATTGTTTTTTCAAGAAATCCCAATCGTGGTTGCGAACAGGTGTGGCAAGATCATTAAATGGTAATATTTTTTCCCACCGATTTTCCAGTAGATGATCAGGTAATACTTCATTTTGAATTACAAAGGAAAGATCTATTCATAAATCTGTATGCTTTGTGAAAATTTACCTTTAATCGATTCAATGGCTTGATTCTTGAGTCTGAACATAGAAATTATCGATTATCTTCCAATTTACTCGTTTAAGTATCTTTATTAGATATTTTAATCTCACTTGAGCCGGCTGGCAGCAAATGCGGGAAATGGAAATGGGGGCTTAAAACATAAAATGAGGGTATAAATGGGTCGCGTCATCCATTACAATTTTATGGATAACACAGTTATTCGATTCTTATTTCAGTAGGTACACGATATAGAAAATTAACAACGATAGTCAGATCTTGATTAAATATAGGTTAAACTTTTGTTATAGCTAAATTTAGTTAAACACCCGTTCTTCTGGCTTTGAATAGGGTCTGTCAAATGAAAAAAAGTATGTATTCAAGTTTATCGTATCACCTTCAAAGTAGGGTCCAAAGTGTGACTGTCGGTCTGCACCAATGTCATATAAGATGACGTGTTCTATAGAGGGCTGATGATCTTGAATATATAATGATTGAAGGATGTATTAGCAAGGTCTTAATTTTTATTGTGTATTTATCAGCGTATGTCACTTTCTACGATACACATTGTGATTAATAAAACCTCCTTTGTATCGAACTTCCTATGACATCGTTCGTCATAGCTGTGCAATCTATGCAGTTTTCCTGTCTAAATGGATAGCGATAAATAAAACTCCCCCTAAAAATCGTTTGATAGTCAGTTGCGAAGAAAATGGAGGGTAAGAATGAGCTCTTTTATATTTTTCATCAAACTTAATGTATGTAATTTTTCAGCGCAAGGTGCGGCCATCATCTTTGGACCATTGCAGACGGCCTATGGTAAATACACCACATATCTATCACACGTTTAACCATATATTTGTACAACGAGAACTACGAGCATTAATTCAACAGAAATATGCATCTGTAAGTACTTTTCATGCATCATACCGTATTTTAATTAGCTCTTATTTAGGAAAATGTAGCAATTCTACGGGGTCGGGGAGTAATCCCCGACTCCGTAAAGGTTGAAGAAGAAATCTTTAAAAATAGGAGGTTCCAGGTCTTTAAAGACCTGGAACTAGAAAACACCTATTGGGTGTTTTATGTAAGTGTTATCGTTTCAATTATAATGTATACTTCAATGAATTTTTTTTTCCAGAACTATTAAATTTTGTTTTGTTTTACTTATCCACTCCATTCTGACTAAGCCCTTACCTAAAATAATAAGATGTAGTGATTAGGGTATTATCATTTCTTCCGTAAAATAAGTGTTCAGACACCTCCTCCCACCCAGCACGCGAAGGTAGAGCGCCTACTTAGAAATATGTATTATGATAAACAAGATTATAGGTTAGAAAGGGGCCCTCTTACCACTTGTTGACAGTGAATACGGCATGCCTTCATCTCTATCCTGGTTTGGAATTTAGAAGCTTGGCTTATCACAGCATTCATGCGTCTAAGTGTATTATGTTCAATAGGTGATCGTGTCCAGTATTATGACACGGACTCTATAATCTTTATATCAGCGGAAGGACAACCCAATCCGCCAACATGAGGATAGCTTCTACGTCTTACTACAAAAACCAGGGGGCTGCCTTAGACCCTAAGAGCTACTATATAAAACTAGGGCTAGTTCCTCGGGGTAGCTATTGCCGATAGGATTAGGGGTTAGCTCCCCCATCCGATAAGAGGGTAGCTCCACCCGATAGGGGGAGCTATCGCTCCTACGAAATAGTTCACGCAGGTACCTACAGCTCCTGACACTGATGCTATAATTAAATACTATCGAATTATTGCGAGATTGCAGCATCCTCTCCCATAATCGCGGTTATTTTTTCTCTAACTGATAACGCATTTACATCTGTGCTTATTTAGCTGCAAATGTCAAGTGAGTTAACATCTTCATATTGCTTTCGCAACTTAATAGTTATTATTTTAGATCGAGAAATGTGCAATCATTTTTGCGAGGAGTCGAGGTAAATCTGCATGTATATTACTATACGTTTTAACCGTATATTTGTAGAAAAAGAAACTACTATTATTTTCGGCGGGATACAAACCCAGCGAGGTATAAACCACCATGTAATACGTTTTAATTATATATGTGTAGAACGGAGCGGGGGAGTTCCAATTACGAATAACAATGCCGTCATCCAAAAAATGGGCGTTGCCGCCATCGGTCCTCTTCGTCGCTAATTTTATGTAAGTAGAGTAAGCGCTTTAATTGTAAACTTCAAATCGATATTTCAGATCTAAATAAAAATGCCCTACATTTTGTTTGTTGTTTTTTTCCCTGCTCGCTCCTGTTCTGATTATAGGAATGGGGGCCCTCCCTTGCATGTCTCTCACATGGGGACCTCCTCTATGAAATCAAAATACTACCTCCGAGGTGGAATTATAGGTTAGAATTCTTCTCCCTTGAATCTCTCCTGGGCCCTCTTACCTATCTCCTGAAATTATAGTTTTCTAACCGTTTGATGTCTCATCAATGCCGGGCGCCGGTTGAAATTATACTTTCCTATACCAATCTTAATAGATGGCGACTCCGTTCCGTTAAAATAGGTTCGATATAAATACAACTATCCAAGCATTATATCATACAAGTCTAATTAGCTCAGTTCATTAGCTATAGGACTTGTAATCTAATGGTTTACGGTTCGAATCCGTTCCATTAAAAAAAATTTTCAGGGTACGAAGGGGTCGAAGTTGAGGATTCCAAGATGGCGTCCAAGAACTTGAGGATTACAAGATGGCGGGTCCAAGATGGCGTCCAACATGGCGCCTGCGCAAAGGGGCGGGGCGCACATGCGCACATCCAAACTGCTCCAAAAAAGCCCCAAACGAACCTTAGAATTTCCCATAAGAAATAACATGGGATTTCGACCAAAAGTGGGCCCGAATCCTCCTAGCTCCTGGATAAAAGGATTAGGACCTTCTCTCAATCAGTTGCTATCACATCTGAAGACGGAGTGATGTGTTTATGCACACCATCAGAAGCCTATGCTATGAGTGCTTACCAATTCATTTCTCCCAAGTTTACTTTTCGTAAGATGATTTTTGAAACGATATATTCCAACACATCACAAGATTCTATCATGAGGAAGGTTATGAACAGTTGTTTGGTATTGCTTAGTGGAACAGAAATAGCCAATTTCCTTTTATGTCATAAATTCATCATTATAGAAAAACCCTATTCTGTTATGTTGGCAAGAGCTTGCCAAATTCGCTCCATATTTAATAAGCGCTGTTCGGCAAATTTTTATATACCCAGGATCATCTTCAGGAACTGTCTAGGGAAAACATAAAAATATTTGCTGCAATCGCCAGAGGTATTGCTATAATGGAAGTATACTCTTCTTATGCGAACTATCAGGGTACTGATAATAGTGTAGCAGTTAAAGAACTGGTAGATAAAGCATTAGATATCGTCAAACTGAGTGGTGGATCAAACACCTTAACCACAGAGGACATGAGGGAGGCTTTACTGGCCAAGGAGGCTTTACTGGCCAAAACAGAAAATGATACCATTCTCTTATCTCTATCTATAGGAGCGTTCTCTCAGCTTGAACATACACCTACACCAA